TAGTAATGAGTTAATACTTAAAATTATTTAAAATTTTATTTTTAAAAACATATTATGATTCTCTGATTTTTATTTAGTTTATTAAATTTTTATGAATTTTAGAATTTATTATTATTTTTAATTAATTATTTATAGAGAATGGGTTATTTAGTGAATTATTAATGAATTAATAATTAAAATTTATTTAGAAATTCTATTTTAATTCAAGTTATTATTCTCTGATTTTATTTATTTTTAATTACATTTTTAATGAATTTTATGGTTTATTTATCATTTTTGATGAAAATCATGTTCTTCTAATCCTTTGAACACTAATTATAAATCATATCAACACATAATAATCATGAACAAAATAGAAGAGGTGCTCTAACTCTCTATGGAAAGATTACAGTAAATCATTAAAGTCATAGGTCACATAGTGACCTATGAACTTTAATTATTAACTATAAAAAACTAGATGTGTCAATATGAATTGAAGGGATTTAAAGACATAGGAGACATCTTCAAATCCAATTCACTTCAACTTGATACTAAAATCATGTATAGTATAGCAATTATATATATGAACTCATAACATTGAAAGCAAATTTTGATCAAACTATACATGATCATAATCTAGAATTATTTTTAATGGAATAAGATTTCTCACTGAATCCATAGAACCCTAACATGCATGAATTGGATTTAAATTGAATAGATCATGAATTTCCAAAAATCAAGACCAAATCATGATCAAGATTTTTGTAAAATCATAATCCAGTTGATATTACATCAAAATGGCTTAACAAAATTATGGAAGATCAATCTTATACCCTAGAATTCATCTAGCAAGTTTCAGCTCAAAATAGTTTATATATTTTTATTTAAAAATAGGATAAGTTTTTATGTATTATTGAAATTATTAAGAAAATATTGCTTAAAAATAATTTTTAAAATATAGTATTTAAAAATACAAACAAAACGAGAATAAGAAATCCAAAAATAGATTAAAAATAAAATTCTTGTGAATTTTTGAAATTCTGGATATTTTCTGGATTTATTTTAGGATTTTAATACTCTGGTCAAAACGGCGGCGCTGACCAGACACTCGTCGGCAGCGGGTCCCGCCGTGTTGACGGCGGCAGTCATGCAGAGCACTATATTTATCTAGCTAGGCAGTGATATCAGCCGTCAGATCGATCACAGAAAGGATCTGACGGCCGAGATCATACCTGCTGGACAAATCTAAACGGAGAAGATCTGACGGTCCAAATGCAACCCGTGGTTTAAACAGACGTCCTAGATCTATTCGGACGGATATCTAAGCATCTATTTAAACAGATGAAATGAAACGCAGGATTACTTAATCTCATCCGTAGATCTAAAATGAATAGATCTAACGGCTGGCGCATTATCTTCCTCCTCTAAAGTCCCGTAAACCCTAATCTTAGATTTAGCCTTAGGAGGCTTATATGATGAAATGAACGGCTTGAAACTTAATACAGAGGTAATATAAGGCCAAAGAAAGAGTGGGGGAGCATTTTTTAAGCCATTGATCCAATATTTAGAGTATTATTTAGAAACCTAGATAAATACCTAGGATTAGAGATTTACCGAGCTATAGTTGATGGATTTGGATGTTTTAATCAAAGTTAAATTTATTGATTGTCCACGTGTTGTTTCCTTACAGACCTCGAGCTCAGATAAAGCTTCTTTAGAGAGTTGATGTGATTTGGACGGAGCGAACTTCGGTCTTGCGTCCTTCTTATCGCTGGGGAGCTCCAAATGACAGGAAAATGATTGGGAAAGGTTCAGAGAGCTATGGGATTTCAAAACGAAATGCCATGGCGCTCTGGAAATCACTGGGATGAGAGATAGGTTAGCATGAATGAATCCCGTCCCTATTATCCTATTCAACATTTGGACCAAAACTAAGGGCTGGGATTGATCAGGGACGTTTCTAGGATGCTTGACATCTGGCCCAGGTGGTTAGAGAACAGAGGGATGGACTGTACGGGGCTGTATGAGCTGGCCACTCCTTCATTTGTCTTCACATGGGAGGGACCATTTGAGCTGGCTGGACCATTTGAAGCCATGGAAATAGCTGTGCTGGGTTGGGTTAGCCTCCTGGAAGGTTCTAGAGTCGGTTCTATAGGCTGGACGGGTCTGGTTCAGGTTGGGTGAAGTTGGTGAGTCAAGTTGAGCATGTAAGCTTGTTTTAGCTCCCATTGACCATTTGACCAGTCAACAGAGGTCAAAGGAGCTTAGGTGGAGTCCAGATGGAGTTTTTAAATTAATAGAATGGTTGGATAGACATGGTTTGAGGGGATAAATTCATTTGAATGTGTTTGACCATTTAGAGTTCATTCAAGCTCCCATTGACCATTTAACCGGTCAACAGGTCAAAGGTTGCTGAGCTGGAATTAAGGTGAGTCTATGGGTTATTTGAGATGGCTGAATATGCTTGGGTTTGAGCGAAGGCAATCGGGTTAATGGGTTTGATCATTAGGATGGGCCTTTAAGCATTGAGTTGACTGGTTTGACCAGTCAACTTAATCAATTTTGATGAGGTGGACATTTGGACAACATATATAAGCTAGCATGAGTAGTTTGTTAGATCAATTGTATGAAAAAAGAATGTTTATGTGATGGGGTTTGACCATCCATGGGTGGACCTATAATGGACTTGAAGAAGTTGAGGCTATGTTCAAAGGAGTTTTGAAGAAGTTCGAATGAATTTAGAATTTGATTGATTGAATATTGGTTTGATTGAAAGATGGGTGATGTTTAGGAACAAGTTGAAGATCAACTAGAGAGGACCAATGTGTGTATAATCAATCGAGCTAGTTTGAGTAGATAAGACTGGTCAATCACATGCTTCAGAAAGCTAGTGATATAAAATTTGATATATGAGAATTTAATGAAATGATTTAGAGCTTGACTGGAATCTAAGGATCAATATACTACACTAGGTAGTAGATCGAGGTTCTTGCATGCAGTATAAGATTGTAGATGATTTGAGTTGATGGTTGACCACTGGACATATAATTGAGAGATAGGATTTGCAGGATCATTGATGGATTAAAACTTGATTGATTTGATTGAATGGATTTGAAATCTCAATGAATTTGAGATATAGGTTGAATTGAATCAGGATTGATCTAAGGCTTAGATTGATCTAAGACTTAGATAGGTCTAAGGTCTATATAAATCCTAAGATCTGGATAGATTTAGGGTCAAGGTAAATTCTAGGATCTAGATTGGTCTGGAGGGTTTGAAGTCTGGATTTGATTGAAGTCTAGATAGATTGAGATAAGAATTGGCTTGAGTTTGAATTGATCACAAGTCTGGATTGATTTGAATCTGGATTAATTCTAGGTTCCTAATGATCTCATAAAAAAATGAGGTCAACAACTGGGTAATACCATATGATTTTCTTCTTTTTTAGAAGTTTTCACATAAAAATTATGGTATCTCACACCCCTCTTATTTATCTATTTGTGTGCTGACTCTTCATACGAAATTAGAATGCTAAATTATATATTTCTCTACTATCGCAAATATTCCAAGCACTAAACATTAACAAAATAGTAGACTTAGGCTTTGTTTGAGATGGCTTTTTATTACTTCAGCAATAAAAAAGCTGCCCCAAAAGCAGTAAGAAAGCTATCCCGAATGAAGCCTTAGTTTTTGTGTAGATGGTTTCAATCCTTATAATCAACCGTCAACTCCGTACGTGGTTTTTTTGTGTTATTGGTCGATGCTGATTTAAAATCTAGTCGGATTAAACCGGTTTAGGCGAACCAGCAGCACTAATTTTTATTGCCTCAGGTTACCTGACGTAGAGATACATCAGGTAGCCTATAATATATCACCACGTGCTCTTACTCTTTACCTCGCGGCCCGACGACCCAACCCGGAACGGACCCGGGAGTTTGCGTAGCTCGGTATTGCTAGGTATTGGTCGATTTAATTCCAGCAGCACACGGGTACACGATATATCTGCTCGGAGCAACTTTCAGCACCTCTCAACACGCATCCTTTCGATCTCTTCACATCATCGTAATCACAAAACAAATACTCTGGAATACATTAGCTGCATTCCCAAAAAAAAAAAACATTAGCTGCCACTGCAGTAAGAGAGTTTAGAGAGGGAGAGAGGGTTGAAAAAGAGCAGAGAGGAATGGCGATGGCAGTGAGACCCGCGGCAGTGCGCAGGCCCCCTCATCTGCCCAAATACGCTCTCAAGCCCCAGCCTCGCATCTCTCATCCACTCCTGCTCTGTCCTTCGCCTGCGGCGCTCTCTCTTCTTGCTCTCTTTTCGCAGCCCCAAACCTCTTTCTTGGAAGCCAAAGCCTTCACCTTGCCTAAAGAAGGCATCGTCTCTTCGCTTACCAAGGTATTGGAACTAGATCTTCCTTCATAAATCTCTGAACTTTCATCTATTTTGCTTCATTAGTTGATTCCTTAAAAACTATTTGTTGTTGTTGTTTCACAACTGAGAAGATGCTCTAGTTGCAAATAACGAGCCTGCTGCCTGTGCATCAATTTCCTTATCCCATTTTGATGATTTCTTGCATATTAGCAGAATAGGAAACTTCCATTTGGTCTTATTTATCTTAAATCATTATCATTTGACTTATCAAATTATTTGTAGATTTATTTTAGTTTCTAATGAACTCAGATCCCTAGGGCCTGCTTGGCTGCAAGTAGGTTAGTCAATCCTGTAAATCCGAATTTATTAAATCCCGTAGCAGTTTAATTTTGCAAACTGTTTGGAATGAAAATGGATAATGTTGTTAAATTTCAAATTATTTGGCTATAGATTTCAGGATTTAAGAGGATTAACTCAAATGGGATTTATGCATAATTTCTTATAATAAAATAGCAAGAGTTTTACAACCATAATTAAGAACCAATCATAAATATGTTGCACATCAATAGGAGGCTTAAAACATATAATAATAAAATATAATTAAATATAAATATTCTTTTTTTGCCTCTTTCATGTGAGCCAGCTTATCAAGTTGAGCGACACCATTGAATCTTTGTTTGCAATTGGAATAATACATTAGTAAGTTACTGTTTTAGAACAAAATTAATTTTTTCTTGTTGAACTTACATTCTTACACGTGCTTCTCACAAGTTGATGGTGTTTGCATAACTCAAAGCATACCTTTAAATTCTCTCTTAAACTATTGCATTTATGTTTGTATTTTTATCATTGGCTTCTACATCACCGAACTCACTATTATGTTGCATCTTAAATTGAGGCATATTAAAATATAAATCATGTTTATGGTAGTGACCAATAAATTATTCAAAATTGCATGAGAAAGCTCAATATCCGCCTATATAGTGGAATAAAATTGTTGCATATGATTTAACACTTAAAATCTCCCTTTCAAAATACCAAAAATTCCCTCCACCATGTTGCATAGCTGGGCGTGACGATATTTATGCAACTTCCTCTCGATTGAGTATCTATGAGATGTGTCTCCATGATACTTACTCAAATGATATTGATATCCCTTGAGTAGTTCCATGTGCTTATCGATATTAGCATAGTCAGAGTCAGCCCAGTAATATTTTTTTTAGCGTCACTCTAACCTGTCTCTACGTGCTAACTGTCATAGAATCTTCATATCACCTGCAAACCCCTCCAAATTAGCGGCAATATGAATGAATTGCCAATCGAATGAGGTTACAATCATTTCATTATGAGAACTTAATCCTTTTCTATTAATGTATCTATTTTACAATTGTTTATTTACCATTGCGGGTACATGCGTGTCATCTGTCTCTCCAATAGCATTTTGAAATTAAGAATGATTTTGTAAGTTGGCCTGTATGAAAGGAAGGAAGTTTGCTTCAGCTGGGGCCAAGTTAATGAACCCCTCCATTAATGATACAATTGCTTATAGTATAAGGTTGAAGTATTTGCTCAATATTTTGAAGGAGTGCTTGAAAATTCACACACTTGCTGCAAATATGGGCATATGCAACCCCTCCATGAAAAATCTTTTATTGTTCAGCTTCATAATATTTTTTTTATCATTTAGTAGGCCTTGACTGAACAATAAGTCCCTCAGTTGTATGAATGCCTAGGATGATAGGTTGAATTGGTTATAAGATTGCAATCATTGGCCAGCAAATGCATCTACCACATATTGAATACCAGTGTATGACCCATCAAACATAGCCCTCCGTATGTGTATATATACTCATTGGAGGAACTAATTTCCTTCATGATTGACAAAATAAATTCATTCATTGCATTATTAATTTCTTGATGTGCATTGGTCATGTCACAATGTGCGTTAGGTAAGGTTCCTCTTAAATAGTAGCCATGACTGAAGTCTGAAATAACAATTTATATAATAGAAGCTAGGTTAACACAATGAAAACTCAAATATTATGTGAATTGGTATAATACATGATAAACAATCATGAGATAAACCTTAAAAATAAGCCAATTTTTTGAAATATTAAAGAATGATGAGAAATGCATAAAAAATATTTTAATAAAGTACAACTATCACAACCAGAATTAAGAAATGAGTATGAGTGCTAAGCTTATATTTAATCTAATTACATTGCAATGGTTTGTCCAAAGTCATTAGTGTCACCTTATTTTCATTACTCTTCTTCAAAGCATCATGGATAACAAGGATAGCTTTTGTGGATATATTCTTTATGTTGTTAAGCTTTGCCAAACATTTAGATATTATATACGGGCCATGTTATACACAACTGTGTGAGTTTTTCCAGCACTCTTTATAAACAATAAGCATAATTTTAATCTTATACTTTGAAGTTTGAACCATTTTTCATTTGTGGATGAGTTCATCTACTTGCGTCCAGTTGAATAAATTCCGTCATTTCATACTGGCCTACTCACATTTTAATTTTTACTTTCAAAATGCCATTAAAGCTATAGATGTTTGCATGTCTCTGCAATGGTGAATAGACGATTACAAAATAGATACCATAAAAGAAGGTAATTTGCTCTCACATAATTTGATGGTGTATCATTCGATCAACAATTGGTTTATGTTATTGATGTGAAACAATCCCATGCGAAAATGATTTGCTTAAAGAAGTTTGCACGTTTAGATTTAGAGGCCATAATAAGCAAGCTTCTTATGCGGAATCAAACGATAAGATAAATATTAAAGTAGTACCTAGCTTAGGTTAACTCACATGCATAGAAGTTAAGTTCAAAAGATAGTCAGCTTAATCCAACATTGCATACATGGATAGTTCCAACAATAGATTCCAATACTAACAATAAGATTATTCGCTATGAGAAGATCCCTCACACAACTCATCCAATTACTAGGTTTTAGTGGAGAAGCATTAATATGATCTTCATGAAGATAATAAATTTACATTCAAGGCTGTAACTATGAAGATAGAGAGTCGGGTGTCGAAGTTACCCAAAGACAAGAGGGATACGCACTCCAGCAAGGTTGTTTGAAAGTTGGGCATGAAGTGGACAGCAACCACGAACCTCCTCGCACTTCACCGAGATTAACCTTCCCCACAAGCGTGGACAGCAGTTGGTGGCTGCAGGGAATTCCAGGACAGCAGGAAGTGATGCCGAACTCTTTGGACAGCAGTTTTGAGACCTTCTTGGACCCCTTCCTTGCTGGTTTTGGCTTTCCTGGACTGGTGACAGCAGCCAATGGTTCTCCACACAACTAGACAGCAGCTAGGAGGTCTCCCAGGACTGCTTCATGGCTGATTTGAGCGCTCCTGGACAGAGGACAGCAACCTGGATTTGTCCAATCAGCTGGACAGTAGGTGGAAATGCAGGAAACGTATGTACCAGCCCTTGAGAATCTTTTGGACAACAAATTGATAACTGTCAAATTAAGATTGACGGGATTAAATCAATCCTCATTCAAAATTTGAATTGACCTGAATTTAAAGAGTGATTATGGGTCTTTAATGACAAGGATTAATGAGAAAGCGGGATGTTTTAATTGAAATAGAAAAACTGAAATAGATTTCAGTTTTAATTGGGATGGGAGGGAGGTTTAATTGAAATCAATTTCAGATTTCAAAATTTAGAAGGGGTGCATTGATGGCAATCAATGGGGAGCCCAATGAGGGGGGCCGGCGGTATGGAGAGAGAGAGAGAGGGAGTTAGGGAGAGAGGGAGAGGGGTTTCCAAACATGAATGATGACTAGGAAAATTTTAAATAAATCCAAATTAATTTAATTTGTAATTTGAATTCATTCAAAAAAATTTCCATAAATGGAATTTCCAAATTTGGAAAGAATTTGAATTTTGAAATTCAAATTTCAAGGAAAGCTAGGGAAGGGAGGCGTGGAGGAAGTGGTGGAGAGGGGAGAGGCCGACGGCAAGGTGGCCGGCCGGTGGAGCTAGGGTGGCCGACGGGATGGGGCTCCAAGGGTGGTGGCACTAGTGGAGGCTTCGGCTTCTTTCAACTCTTGGACTTTGCTTGTGGTAGTTTATGGGGAGAAGAAGAACTATGCTTGAAATTATCTAGAGAACTCACAAAGAGATCTCAAACAAAGAACTCGCTAAGAGATCTTCAAGAAGGAACTCACAAAGAGAACACAAGAACAAAATTTTTCATTCAATAATCATCATCCCCCCTCCAAGAGGAGGGAGAAGGCTTAAATAGCCAAATACATGAAGAAAAATAAAAAGACACAATTGCCCTTCCAGCAAACACATGACGAGGCCCTTAAGCAAGGGCATAAATGGAAATAAATACAAAAGACTCATAAAACATAAAATAAAATATATCAAATACAATAATAATCCAAAGTAGATCGTGGCCGTAGATCATGAATCTTCTGATGTCCTCATTAGTTACCTATCGTTGGAAGATCTGGAGGTCATATGAAGGTGTTATGATAGTGGAGGGAGAGTTTAGATTGTTAGAAAAATATTATCTGTTTAACTTTGGCTATGCTGGTATGCATGTCTCTGTAGTGATTAGTAGATGATTGTAAAATATATACCATAATAGAAAGTGATTCACTCTCTCATAATTTGATGGATGTAGTCTCATTCGATTGACAATTGATTTATGTTATCTATAGCTGGGAGGTGTGCCAGTGATATGAGGGTGCTATGATAGTTAGTGGAGGGAAGTTTATATTACCAGAAAAATATTATTTGGTTGGCTCTGGCTTACACCAGTATTGGTAAGCTCACTACACTCTTCAAGGGATACAATCAATTCTTTTTTAATGGTGGCAAAATAAATCAATAAAGAGTCATCATTCTTTACTTATCGGCATAATTCAGTCAATCAGTAAATCAATTACAGACCAATATCTAAGATTTTACCACAAATCTTTTATTTTAAGAAAAGCCCATTGGGCCCCCCTTTTGTGCAGGATAATTGTTTTAATAAGCAACACTTATTAATTATATAGTTTTTAGTTAGCATTTCTTTCTTGCATGCAAATGCTATATTAGTCATATATCCATGATATGGCGTTCAATCTAAAATTTTCATATTCGTAATGCATGTCTGCTATAATAAATGGATATCAATGCTCATGTTAACTTATATGTAAAACCCTAAGTTTTGATTTTCATATATTTTGTGCAAATGCTGTAAAGTTGCCATTTCATTAATCGATGCAGGTTCATCTACTACTCATTTTCTTCTTAAAATCATAATTTACATTTTAATCATGGTGAAATTTGTTAAAATAGAAATATGACTTTTTTTATCAATTTTAGAAAAGATAAAATCCTAGAAATAAAAACAAAAATAGGATTTAGATTACCTATTATGATCTTATGAAATCTTGTAATAGATTCGACAGATGAAAATACCTCAAACAACTTTCTTTCTCATCTCTCTTCTCTCTCTCTCTCTCTCTTCTCCTCTCCTTCTCTTCTTTTCTTCCCTAGCAAGGCAGCAAATGGGGAGGCTTTGGGGTTATGGTGGGAGATATTTAATATTAAATATAAATAAAAACATCATTTAGTGTCTGGTGTAGCGGCACTTCAATCCATAATGCCACTGCTTTGCAAGCAAAATTTTGGGTTATTGTAGAATAGAGAAAAGAGCGCCGCTGCACTTGCCAACTCAGAGCGGCAACATTGAAGACCAAATTTTCATATATTTAAATTAATTCATTTTATGGTTGGGTATTACACTTATGTAGTATTGCATAATTTATAGTTCGCTACTACATACATGATTTATATTTCAATATGTTTCAAATTGAGATGATTCCTGATAGTGAGTTAAGGGAGGTAGGAATCAATGATGAATACCTTAATATGCATGCAACTGTTGTGGTTAACATTCAAGGGCATACTATGAGACATGGGACCACCACTGATGTACATGAAGTGGTTATAAGACTTTAAGTTCATTAAGCATAAAATATTTTATTTTTGTGTTATTTATGATTGCATTATTTTAATTACATGCAATGAGTCATCGATGTTGCCCAACTTGATTTTTAGTTCAATATTAAGGATGCAAAATAAAAATATTCATGTTTAGTTGTATTTTATTCTTATATGTATTGAAACTCTTGTTGTTGTGTAATTTGTTTATGATTTGATTATTTATTGTGGTATTCCTATTTTACTATAATGAATTACGTTTAAATAATAAATGAATTAGCTAACTTAAATCTTGAAATTTATAGCTAAACAGTTTGTCTGGATTTAACAGAGTTTATAGTCTGTCATGCAAAACGTTTTTCAGGAGTTAGCTGCCAAAGAATTTACTAAATTCAGATTCATAAGGTTTACTAAATCCTACTTGCAGCCAAATAGCCCCATAGAGATTATGTTATAAAATATCTGTTGAATTAACATTTTTAAAGATTTGTCAGATCTGGATCAAATTTTATATCTGAGTGAAATGGATTGTATGCAAATAAAATTTCTTATATTGTTGAGTAATAAATCTTGTATAAAATATAAAACCGTATGCTTAGTTCAAAGACTTTATGTCTAGTAAACTCATATATTTGAATGAAAGGATTTACTTATTGGTTGAATAAAACGTTTTATCCGGTTCAAATCTTTGGCTCTATCAAAAAGTTCTCAGTGAGTTTATTGCACACTTTTTATAGTATCAATTAATGAATATTGATGTTTTAGTTTAAGTGTGGATCTATTAGAGAATGTAGCATATTTTCTTAGTGCACCACACTGGTAATAGTGTCATATGCAGTAATCGGTATCTTACTAAGCTGTTCATGTTTAAGGTGGAAGAGACAATAGATCAAGTTGGGGAAGCGGGTTCAAAAGCCTTGGACTTCTCCAAGGATATAGTTAAGGTAGTGACAGATTCTCTTAAGCCAATAGTGGATGCAGCGCTGCCAGTGCTTAGGAGTGCTGGAGAGGAAGCGGTGAAGATCACAACTCCTATTGTTTCTGATGCTTCCAAGCAAGCAAAAGAGGCTCTTCAAGGTGCTGGTGTTGATCCCAGTCCTGTAGTCTCCGCTGTTAAGGTCTGTCTTGAGGCTTCATTTTGTTCATAAATATTTATCCATTGCATTAAGTATGTATGGATGCCAATGTATTAATTTATTTGGCTTGTCTTTTGCTAGCTGTGTTGAAGTTTCATTTTGGGTACATCTTTGCTTATACAAGTTGTTAGTGATATATCTTTTTGGGACATGCATCGCTAAAATAAAGGCAAATGCAACATGAATGTCCTTAATTTCTGGGAAATACTCTTCAATTTCTTTATGCTGAATTGCTAACTTCCAGATTTTTATTGTTTGATCTCGACTATACTGAATACAGTTAAACAAATACAAATTTAGTTCTTTTTCCTAGGGTTAGTAGTCTTGCCTGTAAAAATGGCTTTATGGGATGCACTTGCTGTATGTTTCACTTCCTTAGAATTTTGATTTTGGTGAATATTATTTTGTCTATGTTGTGAAAAAGCTATTGCTCTATTCCTGGCAAAACTTTATACATAACTTGAACATTTATTACACTACAACACTTTTAACAATGGTATCATGGCTTTCTTCCAAACAATAATTTTCTTGTCTTCTAATGCTACTAAGGAGCCCAAATGGAGACAGGCGATGTCTCAGGAGTTTGATGCACTCCTCAAGCAAGATACATGGATCCTTGTTCCTCATTCTCCCATTAAGAATCTACTTGGCAATAAGAGTGGACCTTCAAGACAAAATATAACTCCAACAAAATGGTCGCTCACTATAAGGCTTGCCTTGCTTAGTTGCTCAAGGTTATAGACCAGAGTAATGCCTTGATTATATAAAAACATTAAGTTCAATCGTTAAAATGCCAACTATTCTTATCTTTCTTACAGTGGCCTTCACCTATAATTGTCCTATTAAACAACTCAATATCTCCAATGACTTTCTCCATGGATATCTCGATGAAACTGTATATATGACACATCTATTTGGATTCAAGGACCCTCAACATGTCGATTATGTCTATCTTTTCTAGATGACCATCTACGATTACAAGCAAGCACCGCGGTAAATCATTACAAGCAAGCACCGCGGTAGTGATTTGCTATAGCTTGGTTTCATTTTCAGCATAGCTGACTTGTTGCTCCTAATCTATAAATGGAAAATCACAGTCATGTACATTGTTATCTACATAGATGATATGCTCCTTATAGACAATGACTCCACCGCCATTTCACACATCATCTAGCAGCTACAACATTCATTCCGCATGAAAAGCCTCGATCTCTCTCACTTCCTTGGACTTCACGTCACACAAATAACTTACAATCTATGCTTAAAAGCAATACAACCTAGAGCTACTCAATTATTCAGTCATGAAGGTGCAAGCCATGTTCAAATCCTATCTCAGCCAAAACTGCCCCTCGTGATAAGTCCTGACCAGAATTTGAATATCCAACTTTGTTATGACAGAGGTTGGCTCAGCTCAGCATGTAACAATAACCCACACAGACATCAGCTATGCTGTGAATCACTTATGTCAGCATTTGCATAATGTTTCATATTCATTGCTAGCAACTCAAATGCCTATTTTGCTATCTCAAAAATGCAATCCACTATGGTTTGTCGATTTATAAAGGTCAGTTCCATCTCCACTCTGACTTCGATGGGGCTGCTGACCCCAACAATTCATATTGTCTACACTTAAGTCAAAAGCAATACTTCTTAGAGCTACTCAACCTACGAGCATGGACACCTGCAAGCCATGTTTAAATCCCATCTCATCCAAAAATGCGTTTCTAGATGCTTTCTCAATTAAATTTGAATATCCAACATTATTATTATAGTTGGTTGGTTAACTTAAATAGCTAATGGTAACCTGCCCAGGCATCAGCTATGCTGTAAATCGCTTATATCAGCATATGCAAAATTGCTTCTTATTCACTACCAACAACTCAAACGCCTAATTCACTATCTTAAATATATCAGCCAATATGGCCTGTCGATTCATAAAGGTTAACTCCATCTCATGGTTTACTCTAACTCTGGGTGGGCTGTTGATTCCAATGATATAAATCCATTATAGGATACTGCGCTTTTCTTCAACAAACACTTATATCCGATTGCATTAAGAAGCAAACTATATTCAGTTGATCATCTATTGAGGCAGAATATTGGGCCATAATGGTTGCCATCGCTAACATTATTTAGCTTCTTAGTTACTTGAGAGTTTGACATCTTACTCTTATCAACTACACCACTCAATTGTAACAATATATTGACCTTTTTCCGACAAGAATCTTGTTTTTCATGCATGCATAAAGAACATTGGAATTGATTTTTACTTCATTTGTGAGTGCATCAAATCTAAGGCATTGCAATCGATCATGTTACTTCTCAGCATTAACTTGCTGGTGTCCTCACAATAAAACCGCCTACCACTTGTTTTTGTTTTCTTCGGGACAAGTTGATGTGCATTCGCCAAGATCGTCAACTTGAGGGGAGCCAAAACATTATGCATCCATAATAATATTTCTGCTGCATGGTACAAGCATATATTGCACCAAGTACATTCAAGCGCTCATGTAAAATCATTAGCTTCATCTCTGTTGATCACTTTAAACAACCTCTTACAACCATAGCAATTCTTTTGTATTGGTTTGTAATCCTCTAAATATAAATAGAGGTTTATGTAACTCTTCAATTAATTAATGCGATAAACTTATAGCTACTCCATTAATAACATATCCTTTCTTGTTTATATTATATTTCAACACCTTTTTCAAATTTGATGCGAAGATCAAGGATTGCTTGAAAATTGAATCGATTTCTTCCTTGAATCAAACTCGTATTATAGACAATGAGTGGATTAATGAGCTAGGCTTGAATCTCAAAACAATTTGAAATTGGATCGAAGTGGATATACATTTATGCATTTGTGCATGCATTTAAATACTTATTTATGTATCTTTTTATATTGGTGGTAACGCATACGTACATATATATGATGTAGGATTACAATGCTTAAAGTAATTTGATAAGAACTTGCATGACTTATTGATTTGAATAATAATTATTAGAACTATTAGCAAATAAAACGACAAAATAAAACATAAGAGCGGTCACTTCCGTTTAGACTAAGCTGCACAATAAGATCTTTGAATTATTAAAATAACAAAGAAAATCAACGACATGCAAATATAATAGCTTTTAACGAAAATCCCTAATCTAACAATAAGATTAGAAACGAATGAAGTGTACTCAATCCTATGTTTACTTGGTTTTGGGCAACGACGAAAAAAAATCCTACGTTTACTAGCTTAGGCAAAGGTGAAGCTCGCTCCTTGTGAATCGTCATCACCTACAAGATTAGGGGATTAGGAAAGTAATTAAAAGGGGGAAGAAGTTTACACTTATCAAAATTAAAAAACAAATAGGCGAGATGTTGAAGAAGTTTGTCGTAGCTCCCCTTGAAGATTCAACTGGAGAGGAAGAAGTCTCTCCCAAGTGTTGAAGTGTTGAAGATAATGTTTCTTTGCTGTCCTTGCAGATTTTCCTTGAAGGAGCGAGATTTTCTTCAAGAGTTTAAGTGGTGGAAGGTGGGGGAAGGTGGTCGGCCACAAGGGAGGAGCTTGGGTAGGTTTAGAGTTTTGGTGGAGTTAAGGTTGAATTTGGGAGAGGACTTTGGAGGGAAGGCTGTGAATAATTTCCAAATCAAAGATCCTTGAATTGGAAAATATTTGGAGAGGATATGAGAGAGTAGGGGGGGCGGTGGGGTTAGAGGAGAGGTTGGGATTTATTTCCAAAAGTGGTGGTGTGATTTTCGAAAGGAACTAAAGAGGTGGGGGATTGGGAAAGTCGGCCAAGGAAGAAGGAGAGGGGTTTTGAATTCCTTCCAAAAAGAGCCTCTTGAATTTGGAAATAAAATCCCAAGGAAATCCAAGGGGGGGGGGGGGGGGGGGGGGGGGGGGGGGGGGTGTGGGAGTGTCTAGATGCAATGTATTTGGAGTTAAAGCTTTAATTAATCAATCCTTCATGATTTGATTGATTGAATTAAATAAGAACATTTCCCAAAATAGGATTAAGAGAAAAGGAAAGATTTGAAATTAGGAGTTAAGACTTTAATTAATCAATTCATCATGATTTGATTGAATTAAATAAGAACCTTTCCTAAAATAGGATTAAAAGGAAAATGGAAGATTTGAAATCTAAAATTGATTTATTTCAAATTCAAATCCTTTCCAAAGATAGGTTGACTTAAATAAGAAAGTGGAGCTTTAGGAAACAAATCCAAATTTAAATCAAAGGGGGGCCGACGACTTAATGGGATATGGAGAGAAATTAAAGAAGCTATTAATGGTTCCTTAAGTCATGGACTTAAATTTAGGATGAAATATTTCATCCTAATTTAACTTTAATTCAATAGGCAAAGAGTTGGAAAGTTTCCTAAAATAGGAGTGATATTTTAGGTAACTTTTCAAATTCAAATAATTTGAATTTTATAAGTTAATGAGTTACCTAAATTAATCAACCCAATTTGGAAAGGAATCGATGTAATCAAGGATGGAGGGAAAAATCTAAGGGGAAAGGGGGTGGTTGGGCTTGGGTTCGGTTGGGTGAAGGGCCGGCGGTGGGGTGGGGCTTTGGGCACCATTGACGGTGAAGTACCTCTTCACCTTATAAATCCACCCGTACGCATCCTCCCCTTCAAATATGGACATCTTCAGCTTCCTTACCTTCTAATCTCCACCAGTCCCCCTTATTCTTCCATAGCCTCCTCTCTTCCAAGTGCTTGGCCCACCCCACGTCTCTCGGTATTCCCTTGCCCTGCCATAGCCCAAACCCCCTTCGAATTCCCCTCTTTTTCCTTCAAAATCAGCACCTCGGCAACTATAATGTTCATCCCGGCATTCCCAATCAGCACCCCTTTGCTCCGCCCCTCCATACCCATCTCTTTCCCCATACCTACCTCCTCTATCCTCCCTCTAAAAAGGCTCCAAATAGGGTTTTCTTGTTTCTCCCTCCACGATTTCCACCTCATCTTCCTCCCTACGAATTTTAAAATTTGTACTTTTCCCTTCCATCCCTTTTGCCACGGAATCCGTCATTTGGTTATGGATTTCCAATATTTTCTTCATCATGTCCCGGAGATCGACTACTTGTTTTTTCATGGAGGAAATCATTTTCTCCACCGTCGTCTTGATTTGATTCAACTCCCCTTGAAGCCTTTCTTCAAGCGCATCTACTTTCTTGGCCGCCATCTCAATCCGGATTTTTGTAGATAAAAAAATTCTGGATTTGGATTACAAAAACAACAACTCTCCTTTCCCGACCAAAAATCAGCCGTCGGAATTTGCCCAAATCATCCCCCGAACGGTCCCAAGACTTGCTCTGATACCAATTTGATAGGAAATACTTGTATATTGCAAGTAATTCCTATCAATCTTCTGAAAACAGCAAGAGTTCTTCATAAAAATTCGCACAAAATCTTAAAAGTAGTAGATAGTATATATATATATATTATGAAAGGGAAACGAAAAATAGCAAGATACAATTGATCCTCTATTTGAGATGAGGATCGATTTCTCCCAAATCTCTAGACGCCGCTAGAACCCAAAGAAAACCTAAATCTAAGAGATCTCAATTTTCAGCCAAATTCAAGATGCCATAACCCTAGGAAAACAAAGTATTTAATGCATAAAAATCAAAAGGAAATCCCTAAATAGCTCCTACATTCAAATTTCCTTCTTAATCCCCCAAACATATTTCCAACTTGGCTCCCGCAAAGCTTGCGGCTTGATCGGCTCCGCGGGAGAGGCGGAGATGTTCAGCCTTGTTCGTGCCTAGGCCGGTCCCGCATAGACCGGCTGGACCAGTCTAACAGCACTCCACTGGAGGGCATTTTCTTTCTCCCATAAATTTGTATTGTGTCAATGTTCTCCCTTTTGCATGTTTATCGGTTCCTAGTGATATGAAGATTTTAGAAAAATCCTATTAATGTTAAAATTTTGGATAAACGAAGCTCTGTTGTCGATCCTGGAAAGTGATTAAGATTTTCATTCTGGTAGACGTTTGCAGATGCAGCACAGCAAACGACAAAAGTAATTGAAGGAGCAAAGCCAATTGCTGCTTCAACTTTTGAAACAATTACCTCTGCAGATCCTACAGTCATTGTTGTCTCAGCTGGAGCACTATTTTTGGCATACCTTCTTTTTCCATCTATATGGTCGATTGTTTCTTTCAACTTCCGTGGCTACAAAGGTAAATCGCACAACCTAATGAAAGTTCAAACGCATATTTCTGTAAATATGGCATACCTTTTTAATGACTTTGCAGCAAAATTCATGATTTATTAGGTAATCTCAGCCCTGCGCAGACTCTTGATGTGCTATCATCACAAAATTTTATTATGATCGACATAAGATCAGAGAAAGACAAAAACAAGACAGGAGTTCCTCGCCTCCCTTCCAGTGCTAGGAACAAAATGATCTCAATTCCGTAAGGATCTTTCCATAACCCATCTTTATTTGCTTCTGTAAAAATTTGTAAAATACTTAAAAGACTAATTTATTTCAGTCTAGAAGAACTCCCAAACAAGCTTAAAGGCCTTGTTCGGAATGTAAAGAAGGTTGAAGCAGAGATAGTTGCTCTAAAGATATCCTATCTAAAAAGAATCAACAAAGGTTCAAACATTGTGATAATGGACTCGTATGTGCCTGCTCCTTATACTCCAAATGTTTAGTTTCCTCCTACATTGAACTTGATTTGGATATTCAAAACACAACAAGCAGGTATTCTGATACCGCCGTGATCGTAGCGAAAACACTTACCAGCCTTGGCTTCAAGAACTCCTGGGTTGTAGCAGATGGCTTCTCTGGAGGTAGAGGGTGGTTGCAGAGCCGGCTCGGCGCCGACTCATATAATGTATCAATCGCAGAAGTTCTATCTCCTTCGCGAATCATACCAGCTACAGCAGCCCGTTTGGGAATGACGAGCGCAACTCCAAGAAAACTTCTTCCAGGTACTGCAGACAACTGAAGAAGAACTATCCATTTGCTTCACATATGTATGTATTTAGCAATCTGTAGTTTAGTTTCATTTTGTTACTGTGCTGTGTGCATATATGTTCTAACTATTTGCCATTGCATTTTAGTTATTATTTAATGTATTTCAAATAGGAATTGCAGTTAAGTCTATCATCTTATCAACCTTATTAGCCTTCATAACTGAATTTGTAGTCTTGATTAAAGTTTTCTTTGTTGAAGGTTTAAGGAGTTAAATTCTTAATTGATTCGTTTCGATTTATGGTTCTTTAAATTTTATGGATTCAACTTTATCTTGAGTTGGCTTGAGTTGGAGGAGCAGTAGTCCCTCCATGTTACCTGGTACTGAGCTATATATAGCAGCGGTACACAACAAAAAAATAATGTGACGTGTTCTCATTGACCTCTGGACGTCGTTTGGTGACCGTAGAGAAAAATTTTACCTTACTCAGATATCCATAGGATTTCATTATAGTTGATCATATATGCGCATTTATTACAAGGCATTAAATGAGTACTTAAAGATAAGTATCCATTACCAAGATAGATGATATACTTAAATATTTGAAAGTTACATCCTTATTTTTCGAGATGGATTTGAGGTTTGGTTATCATAAACCAGAGAAAGGAAGAGGATATGGTAAATATTATACTTAGACTGTTTTATAAATTTCCTTTTTAGTAAGCTCAAAAATTTTTTTATTAAAAAATTACTTTAAAAAGCAACAATAAAGTCGTCCCAACTAAAATCTTAGTATAATTATGATCATTATAACTCCTGGTAATATTATTTTTGTGTGATTAATCTACTGGAAATGTTCATGGATCTAATGAACCAAGTATTTTAAGTCATATCAGGAACAGGTTGTGTGTAGACATATTTGGGTGTTCTAAGAAAGCTGAGGAACATGTGTCATATTTAAGGTTGATGTTGGAGGCTATAAGGAAGAACAAATTACAAGAGGTTTTATAGGTTATTATAAGAGATAGATGTGTTAATAAATAACCAGATCCGTCAACCCAACTCGAAACGTGCATGAAAAATTTAGGTTGGATTGCATTTTATGACATGTTTATTAAATAAGTCGAATTCGAGTTGACTCGCGATCTCATTTTTGACCTGAAAATGATGTTTAATATATTTTTAGAAATAAAAATCTAAAAAAATTTAAAATAAAAATGCTTTGATATTTGTTTTTTACAAAATTAAAAAGAACAAAAATACTTGAGAGAGAAATTTTTTAAGACACCAATCCCCTCCTCTCTTGGTGTGCTTTGGGCAGTTCAAGTGGTTTAACAATGCTTAATCTTTCATTAAGAAAATATGGTATATATCATAGGGTTACAACAACTTATCATCCCCAAACTAGTGGCCAAACCAGAATGAATGATAGGGAGATTAAACGAATTTTAGAAAAAAACTGTCAGTTCTAATAGGAAAGATTGAGCTATTAAATTAGATGATGAATTATGAGTCTATAAAACTACTTTTAAGACTCCTATTTGCATGTCTCCCTATAAATTAATCTTTGAAAAAGCATACCACATTCATGTAGAATTAGAGCATAAGGCATTCTTAGTCGTAAAAGAATTAAAATTCAATTTAAATGAATAGAAGAAAAAAGATTAATACAGTTGAATGAATTGAAAGAATTTGAAAAAGAGGCTTATGAAAATACCAAGATTTATAAGGATAAAATTAAAAGATGGCATGATCGTAAGCTTCTTAAGAAAAAATTTACCTGTAGATAGGATGTTTTATTTTTTATTTTCAGATTAAAATTATTTAAAAAATAAAATAAAATCCAGGTGATCAAGACTATTCACTATTATGAAAGTATTTCTTTATGGAGCTATTGAAATTTAGGATATGAAAATTTTGCATATTTTTGAAGTCAATGGTCCTAGACTAAAGCCTTATTTAGGTGGAGACATAGAGTGTCTATGAAATATCATTAAGTTAGTTCATCCTCAAATAGAATAATTGGTATAGTCTGGCTGAAAATTATAAACTTAGCACCGATGAGAGGCAACTCACTCATGTTTTGTGTTTGAAGTTATTTTCAGTTATTTTCTTTTCTTAAGTATGGTGATATCCTAATTTTGTGAATTTCATTTTATGTCTAGTTATGCTTGTTTACTGTTAGTTTACATTATGTAGTTCTCTTATTTACATTTGATTAAATTCTTTTAAGCTTAAACATTTATACAATTTCCTCTACAAATACTTGCACTTTGATTATTTATTTAGCCAAAATAAAATGATAATTAAAAATTATATAAAATTAGGATAATAATAAAACCCTAGATGATAGTTTGAATGAAAAATGCATTATTAAATCATCATTTTTAAAGCATAATCATTAGCTAATATAGATCACTTAATTTATTGACTTAATTTGAATTTAGAAATTATATACTAATGTATTGATCACTGAATTAAAAAATGAATTATTAAAATTAAGGAAAAGATGTGGGTATCTTAAATTAGAAAAATCATAATAAACTTAAAAATAAATTAGTGATCTTATCGAATCCTTTCATTAAATCAATTTAGGATTACAAGAGGATGAAAGTAAAATTGATATTCAAAATCATTAAATTGTTCTCCAAAAATATACAAGAACGGAATTCCTGAAAAAATTCTTAAAGAGATATATGAAAAAGAAAAATATTGGGACATTAAAAAATTGGTACCATTTTAAGCTTAAGATCAAATGCATCTTAGTATTTGAAATAAAAAACTATAAGGAAAGTGAACTAGTATATGTGATGATGCACTAATAAACTTTCTATTTAACTATAATGTAATCCCTAAGTTACATTATTCATTTATATATTCAGAAGTTAGTTTTACACTTACATAAATAGTGGATAGATTCAAATCAAGCAATTATAAGGGTAACTGGTTGGGATAATTGTTATAATTTTTTAAATTAAAACTATAACTTTATATGTTCCAAATTACTTCTAGACTGTGATGTATTATCTTATATTTCAGTAATCTTAAATTATCGATTTTTATTTTGACTATTAAGTGATCAATAGATGATTTTTACCATTGCTTGAGCACAAGCAGGGTTTTAAGTTGGGGGAAATTTATTAAGTGTGAATTGTAAACTATTTATTATGTTTAAATTTAGTTAAAACATGTTATTTTAGTGATGTTTGTGCATGAAATATTCATGATATGGCAAAAAATTATAAGTGTTGAATAGCGCCACAGCATCATCATCAGAAGCGTTGTAGTGTACGCTTTCATAACACCATGGTGCCAGATTCAGACATTGTAGCATTGGATTCTCTATTTTCCAGCACCGTGGTGACCCCAAGGTCAACGCCGCAGCATAACACAACATGTTGCAACCAAATTTAACACTAAAGGGCTGGAGTTTCACGAAAATGAGTGCCGGAGTGCCGATCCTTGCAATGCCTTAGTGTCGAAAGTTACATTTTAGCTCCGTAGTGCTCAAATTTTGGAGCACCATGGTGGAGCTATTGTTAATGCGAGGAACCAAATTGACTCATCCAAAAGATGCTTCGTCTCACTTATTAATCATATCAGGCCAGCTAGCATTGCAGCGGAGCCAACAATACAGCGCTGAGGTGCTAGTTCATTTTATGCCACCGTGGTGCCACCTTATCGAGCACCACAATGCTTGAACTATCCTTATACTTATTATAAATAGTTTTTTAGTTCTATTAATTAGAGTGTTTGTCACTTAAGCAAAATATTATAGTTTTAAATGTGTTTCTTTAGTGCCCCTTAGAGTAAAGTCTAATGGAGGCTAAGAAAGTGCAAGATGGTTTTATTGTGGTGATCTTAATCTGTTTGTATAAGCAACTCTTTGGTTTGAGGAAGGAGTGTAGAAAATATCATTTGATCCTTATGGATGACAATTTTATTATAAGTTCTCTTGTATCTCTACTTTTTTATGAATGAAATAAAAATAAGTTTACTTGTGTATTTTATGTCTTGCTAATTCTCTAATTTTTTATTGATGGTGTAAAAAGCTTACTAAGTACTAATATAGACATTTGTGCCGATAATATATGTATTGATATTTTCAACCTCTCTTGTTCTTCATTTAATGCATATAGTGGTCATGTGTGTAGTTAATATTTAGTGTGATGTATAGCCTCGATGGAGAAATGCTGGAACAATTAGGAGTATTACAATGGAATGTCGACATATCTATGCTAAAGATAGTGATACGCTATTATTCAAGTAATTTTTCAGTAGAAGTTAATGATCGCATACAAAGAGCTATATACAGCTAAATGAGTTTTGTCCTCTTGTATGAGCACACAGCTTGCCGAACATTTACCTGTTAGTGTTACGGGAATTGGCCAATGCCAACCGAGATAAGAACAGTGGCAACGAGGCCACTGAGTACAAACGGTTCTCATTAATCGAAACCATACAACTTATCTATGTAAATAATAATGTTATTTAGTTATTCATGTCTGATGTTATGTACGACCAAAGCACAAAATTTAAATAAAATGATTGACAAACACTACTTTGTTATTATTATTATTATATTATTATAATATGTTTAATTGAGCAGATTAAGAGAGCATATTTTTCTCATTTATGCTTTATTAGGAGGGATAACTATTTTACTGTTTTCTAAAATAAATTTTTAAATAAAAAATTTTTTTTATTAAAATTTTTAAAAAAAAGAAATAAAAAAGCTAGTCCAAATAAAACTTTAAAAGTTAAATTTTTTAAAAATTACTACCAAAATTTTGAATTTGAAAATCTACAATACCAAAATAAATTTTATTCTGCAGATCTTGGCTTCGTTTAAAACAGTTTCTTATTGTTTTTTAAAGCAATTTTCTAGTACAAAAATTTAAATTTTTATACTAAAAAATTGCTTTAAGAAGCATAAAAAAATCGTCATAAACAAAGCAATTATATGGTGTTATATATATAAGCTTTATTTGAAATAGCTTTCTTCCACTTTATGAAGTAATTTTCTAATACAATAATTTCAAATTTAAAAAAAAAATACTAAAAAATTATTTCATAAAATAATAAGAAAGTTGTACCAAACGAAATAATTATGATTTCATAAACCAGCTTGATCCATCACCTTAAAAAAATATTTAAAAAATCAACATTCAGAGTATAAAAAGTGTTATAAGATTATTTATCTTATAGAGTATCTCCCTGTCATTTCTCATACAAAAGATTTGTTCGTAATGCAAATAAAACTTACAAAAGAGAACAGAAGCAACTACAACACAAAAATGGCATCAACAGCAATATCATTCCCCCTCAAAGAATCTAACCGTCTATTCGGTTCATTCTTATTAACACGTTATCAGTTAAACAGAAATAAATGTTCTCAAGTACAGTGAAATAATTATAATCCAGCTAATAGATAGGCTGAGAATGCAATCAATCAGAACGGACACAAGAACACATATTCTGGGTAAAAAGATAGAACAATGAGTTCAAGTTGATCCACACTCCCTTAAACCTACCATCTGAAAACTCCCTAAATTGATGTACAAATTCCTACAACTATCAGTCATCTCTGTCGGATGGCAAGCACTCATAACTTAGCAAAACAAAACATTTGAGTTCATGGTTGTGGAGCTTGATTGTAAGTTTCTGATGCAAAAAAGCAGGAAATGCTTCATTTTCTTTCACCAATGGCAGATAATGAGAGGTTATAGTGATCATAGAAAACAACCAAGGCTCTGTTTGAGACGGCTTTCTTATTGTTTTTTAAAGCAGCTTTTAGTACAAAAATTAAAAATTTTGTACTAAAAAGTTGTTTTAAGAATCAATAAGAAAATCGTCCCAAATGAAGCCTAAGTGATGATCTCAAATAAAATGATGAATATGATGAACTCTTAACATTTTGTAGATCATGACATTCAATCAATCTTCATGTTCTTCTTCACCTTCAGAATCTGCATAACAGATTAAGAAAAAAAAAACGTTGGAAGTTGCATGAAAGTAGAGTATCCTAAGGAGAAATTATTCAGTCAAGAATGTATGAGTGATTTTCTCATGGAACGACTATAATGTTTCAGTAATTTCTAAAAGAGTAGAACTTACCAGATCGAACATCATCAGTAATGTGGCCTCTCAAGTGGATTTGTTTTACAAGCATTCGGTAGATCAACACCCACCAGAAAATATGAAGCACTAGTAATGAAAACAAAAGTGTGTTGAACACATAATAGTATATTGGGCCTTCAAACTTATGCTTCTCTTTGTTCAACGACAATACAACTTCATAGCTGCAAAGCAAGGCACAAAAACAAGAGACAAATTTAGTTAGAAGGAAAATGCTATGTTGCCCAAGCCATAATAGCCTAAAAGAAAATTTTGCAGTGTTGGCAATTCATATGGCAATGTACAGTAACATGGTAGCAACTTTATTAACATGATTCTGACCGCTTTTAAATTGTTTTGATGTTTAGTATATTTTTTATCTTATGGAAGAGATGACCAGTTGCCTTTGTTACCTGGCTTTAAGAATTCCTTAGTTCCATGACCTGCTTGCTTTCCATTATCTGCTTTCTTCAAGATCCTTTGGTGAGACCTTCACCACTCTTGTAGATGTTTTTTTTTTTTTTTCAATTAGCTGGATCCGACCTAAGTTTTGGTAGATCCATCATATATCATGAAACCACAATTTGTGTTATGTAGATATCTTGTTTGGCTATTTCTATAAAAAATGCAGCATTTAGGACATTTCATATTAAGGTGCTACATATTGCCCATATTGAACAATTGGTGTAATTTATTATTCTTCATAAATAATTGTTGTCTGAAGTTTGGCTACTAGCATCTGTAAAAGTACATAGCATCTTTCAACTCTATCTGTACTGATAGGCCAAATTCTGGTCCAATCTAGTATTATAAGGGTCACGTTAACTCTAGGTAGGTTAGATCGGATACAATTTCAATTCAACTCAATTTTGTTCCTTTTCATTTCCTCAAAACCCAGGTTAAGAACAAATCAAGCCAATCAGATCTTGCAAAATGCGAATGATAACAAATATAAATCAGTTTTATTCATTATTTAAATTAGTCAGCTTTCATGCCCTATTTAACTTGCCAAGACTAGCTAAGAGTGTTGTTTGCATATCAATGGTTTCATTTTATAAAATACGGCTTAAGTTTTTGTAAGTGTTATCAAACTAATTTTTAGCTTCAACTTTTTTCATTCAGGCTTGAGACCAAAAAAATCCTTAACTAGTAATGACTTGTTTGCTTATATGAATGCACTAGAAAAATAAGCATAAGGATAAAGTAAATTATAATCAATGTCAGGTCGCTTATATACACCTGGTACTTCTAAGGATCCAAAAAGGATAGTATATCAGGCGAAGTATAATCCATGAAGCAACAAAGAGAAGAAATGAGAAGCCTGCTATTTGCTCATAGCCACTGTATTTTGACATCTTTCCAATCTCCAAAAATATGTCACTTGCATCATGAATGGCTAGAACAACTGAACCGACGCGTGCAAACCTGTAGAGCAAGAATAATGATAAAAAATAAGAACAAGCAATAGCTTGGTTGACATCTGCAATGAACAATATAAACAAACAGATACTGATGTGAATCAATGTAGGAATTGCGATTGGAAATTAAAATGAAAATTATTCAAAGCGTTGTCAAAACAAATTTTATTACCAATAAAATAAAGGATTAATTCGTTCTAGGTAATTGACTTGTTTAGGCGAAGATTTGCTTTGAGATAACCAAACAATTCATAGCACTTCCAAAATAAAAAGATCTACTTAATTGCTCATAACAAAATCCCACAATTAATAATAAGAAGTTCACCTTGAGTACCCTCTCTCTCTCTCTAGTTCACTCTTGGGCTTTAGCGGAGAAGAAAGAACCATGCGAGGATGAGGAGCACCACTACGATGAAGGCGACGAAAGACTTTGTTACCGGAGAGGTATTCACCGGGGAAGGTGGTGGCGGATGGCGTCCAATGATCATCCAAGTGTAACCACGAAATTATCGGTCGAAAATACTTGCGAGAATCGGGACGACTCACTCCAATTACTCTTCGATTGTGGCGTCGTCTTCAAATCCTATGTCGAAGCAAGGAGAGTATAGGATATCAATGCTCTCGTCGGCGTGGAATACTAATCCCCACTCAAGCTCCGGATCCGCCATTCAACATCGAGGAAGGGCGGGGAAATGACAAGGGAAAGTGGGTTGGGCCGTGAGCTAGAGAAGAACAAGAGGAAAATATGAATTTGAATTCAGATTTTTCTTAGGTTGGAGGGAGAGATTAATTGCTATGAAAACCTCCCAAAATTTGAATTAGGAGGGGCGGGTATTAGGGGAGAATTAAGAGGGGAATTAGTGGTTGCTTATGTGGAAAGTAGAGAGAGAATAAGAGAGGTGTTGGGGCCGGCCATGCAAAGGGAAATCAATGGGAAAATTTCATAAATAGTGGGCCCCATGTAATTAATTAAAATCTGAGACTTTAATTTCAGATTTCAATCAATTGCGGAAGTTACAAATAAGAGAGAGAGGGAAAATTTGAATTTGAATCCAGGTAATTACTCCTCAATCAATTGCTCACTAATTTGAGGAGCCAAATTAGGAAGAAATTAATGGGGGTTTAATGGCTGAATTCAAACTTCTCCATGCAGGGAATCCGACGGGATTAGCCAAGGAGAAGGGAGGTCAGGCTGCTGGGTGAGGGAGAGGAGGGGCGGCGGCTGGGCAGGGTCGGCGGCTGGTCTAGCCGGCGGTAAGGGGGAGACGGCCAGGGAAAGTCGGCGGGTTCAGGGGGGATTTGGGAGGGTAGGCTGCAGGGAAAATTAGAGAGGGAGGAGGGGTGGTTCGGGTGAGTGGGATGGGATGGGGAGGAAGGGAAAACAGTGAACAAAACAAGATAAAACCAAGAGCTCATCGTGGTGGGCTGTTGGGTACTTCGGGTGGAGCCTCTCCAAGGCCTCCTCTCTTTCTCTCAAGCTCTCAAGCAAGAAGACAAAGGAAAAATCTCAGAATTTTATTAATCAAGCATTAACCTCATACAATAAGAGGAGATCCCTTTATAAAGGTCTCAAAGCATGAAAAGAAAAAAGACTCACATGCCCCTTGGGCTACAACAAAAACTACGTCTTCATAAGGGCGAAATCGTCACTAGTACATGAAATAAAAGATGCATAAAATAAAATAACATAAAAGACATGACAACATCAAAAATATAAACTCCCGATCGTAGCCGTCGATCTACGATTCCTTCGCCGATAAACCTGCCTAAAATGTCTGTCGATGACCTCATCAAACAGCTTCGAAGCCTTCTTGACCGGCACCACCACCAGATCGCCTCCCCTAATCCTATCCAGCACCGGAATTCAAATCACGAACCCAACTCATACAACCTGGATTTTGATGGACCAAAATCTTGCAGCGGCACTCTATTCCATCATCTATCCCGCAATCCTCCCATACGTTCTTTCCGTCGAACATTGCTCCGAAATCTGGAGCACTCTGGACACTCGGCTACAATCTTGCACACGATCCAGAATCGCCCACCTCAAGTACGAACTCCATTTCTTGTCGATGAAGGACAAATCTATGACACAATATCTCCTAGACGTCAAATCAAAGGTCGACGCACTAGCTGCCGCCGGAGCACCGGTCGACGTTGAAGACGTCATACACTATACCCTCAACGGTCTACCCTATACCTACCAGGCTTTCAAAACGGACATTCGCACAAACCTTCGATCCGTAAGTCTAGATGAACTATATACACTTCTCTGTAGTGAAGAGCTAAACCTCGCCCATGAAACATCCAAAGAACTCCACTCTCTCAACATAGCTGGCAATTAAACGGCCCTCACTGCTGGTCGCGGCATGGGTCACGGACGAACTTCCCAATATCGCAGTCGTTCCAATGCTCGCCAACCGAACACATCAAACTCAAATCAGGGCGGCAAGACGAATCGCCCATCCATTACTTGCCAAATATGCTGCAAGTTCGGCCACTCGGCTATCAAATGCTGGCATCGTCACGATGACCAGTACAACACGGAACCCACACCCGCACTATTCACCTCGCCATCCCAATCCAATCACTCCGATTGGTTCCTCAACAGCGGTGCTTCAACCCACCTAACGTGCGATCCCAACAACCTTCAACAATCTCAACTATACAACAGATCCAGCCAAGTCGTTCTTGGAAACGACCACCAACTCCCGATCCACACCACGGGTAAAGGTCTTCTCCCCACTCCAACAGGTAGTCTCAAACTAAAGAATCTCAATCTTGTTCCCAATCTCTCCTTCAACCTTCTCTCCGTGTACAAACTAACTCAAGACAACAATTGCATCATTACATTCTATCCTCGCGGCTATGAAATACAGGATCGGAAGACCCACCGCCGTCTTCTCGCGGGTCCATCTATTAATGGTCTATATCCCCTCCACGCCAAGCACATCTCGGCCAAACAAACAGATCAGCTCGCTCTTCTCTCTATCCAACACGTTCCGAAGCTCTGGCATCGCCGTCTAGGCCACCCGTCAGCTCACACCTTGGCTGCAATCTCCAAACGCAACAGCAACATTCATACTTCCTCACCTATGTGTAATTCTTGTAAAATGACAAAGAACCATAGATTACCTACATCTAAATATGTAACTGTAACTACCTCTCCCTTCATTTTAGTTCATTCGGACATCTGGGGTCCATTCCCCATTGTATCCAATCAAGGATTTCATTATTACATATCTTTCATAGATGATTTTTCCAAATTTAGTTGGATCTTTCCCATTACTAAAAAATCTGAAGTTTTGACCAAATTTATTGAATTTCAAACGTTCATAGATCGCCAATTTAACTGAAAAATCCGCACAATACGCACTAATAACGGCAATGAATTTATAAACAATAAATTTAAAACTCACTATCGTCACACCGGTATAATTCATCAATCAACTTGCCCACACTCACCCTCTCAGAACGGCGTTGCAGAACTCAAACATCGACATCATATCGAAACGGCTCGCACCCTTCTACTCCAAGCTTCCCTTCCTCAACAATTCTGGGTAGACACGATTCTCACCACGAATCTTCTAATAAATTGCCTACCCTCCTCACCAAACAACCACTACAAATCACCCTACGAAATTCTCTACGGTAAACAACCCAATTACAATCACTTCAGAGTCTTCGGATGCCTATGCTATCCATGGCGCAAACCGTACACAGCTAATAAACTTTCACCTCTCTCTCATCTGTGCGTCTTCATAGGTTACGCCACATCCCAAAAAGGCTACTGTTGTCTAGATCCCTTAACCAACAAAATTCACACATCATATCACATAATCTTTAATGAAAACATTTTTTCCTACGCCAACCAGGCACCCCAATCCTTATCGACCCAGTCCCCACAAAACTCTACACTACCGCTCCTTCTCATCCCTACAACCAGCATACAACAATCCTTAAACAATCACTCCACTCTAGCACCTCATATACTCAACACGACCCCGAATGCTCATAACTCACAAGATATCACTCCCACACCTCCTCACGGATCAGACACCCAATCCCCTTCAACATCACAAATCAATCCTCACGGATCAGACACCCAATCCCCTTCAACATCACAAATCAATCTATCCAAATCACACACCACATAGCTCACGGCTCCAACTCCATTGTAGCCCATACAGGGACACCCCATGACCACTCGGCTCAAAAGTGGTCACTCTAAACCCAAGAAAATATTTGATCTCGCTCACATAATACAAACCACCGAACCTACCACTTACGCTCAAGCAGTTAAATCTGAACACTGGCGCACCGCTATGTCTCAAGAATTTCAGGCACATCATGCTCAAGGCACTTGGGAGCTGGTTCCTCCCATTCCCTCTCAAAATGTCCTTGGCTCCAAATGGACTTTCCGCATCAAATATAACTCCGACGGATCCATAGCTCGCCACAAAGCTCGTCTTGTAGCCAAAGGCTACAATCAAGAACACGGCATCGACTACATTGAAACCTTCAGCCCCGTCGCTAAAATGCCAACTATACGCATTCTCATTCTCTTGGCTCTCCACCACAACTGGACCATACACCAGCTCGACGTCTCAAAAGCTTTCCTCCACGGGACATTATCTGACACGGTCTACATGCATCAACCACCCGGATTCCAAGATTCTCTTCATCCCAAACATGTTTGTCGGTTAAAGAAAACTCTCTACGGGTTGAAACAATCGCCTCGTGAGTGGTAGCAACCCTATCAAATCACTTGCCAAGCTATGGGTTCAAAATAAGCGCAGCCGACCACTCTCTCCTCACATACAAATCCGGGAACACTCGCATCTATATCCTCATTTACGTTGACAACATACTCCTCACAGGTAACTCCCGAACAGAAATCAATAAACCGCTTTCTAACCTACACGACAACTTTCAGATGAGAAACCTTGGTTCTCTATCACAATTCTTAGGCATTCAAGCACACCATACCGACTCCGGCATCCTACTACATCAGCAAACATACGCAAGAAAAATCATTGAGCGCGCGGGCATATCTCAATCCAAATCGGTCTCCACCCCCATAACCTGCAAAACAACAACAACAAGCAAATCCAACGAACCTTACGACAACCCTCATCTGTACCGACAAATCATCCGATCACTTCAGTATCTCACCCTAACAAGACCCGACATACAACTCACAGTCCAACAACTCTGCCAACATATGCAAACACCGCTCCACATCCACCAAGAAGCACTCAAATGGCTTCTTCGATATATTCATGGAACCACGCACACAGGTATTCCTCTAAACCGAGCTAACCTCACATTACGCGGTTACGTAGATGTAGATTGGGCAAGCAATCAACATGACTGAAAATCCATCTCCGGCTTCTGCAACTTTCTCGGCCACTCCTCAATCTCGTGGCAAGTCAAGAAACAAAATACCATCGCTCGGTCCTCCACCGAAGCCGAGTACCGAGCTCTAGCCGCCGAAGCATCCGAAATACTCTGGCTCCGACAACTTCTAGAAGACCTCCATACACCGCAAGATGCACCAACAACCGTATACTGCGACAACACATCGGCTATTGCCCTCGCCAACAACCTAGTATTCCACACTCGCACAAAGCACATTGAGGTCGATTGTCACTTCATTAGAGACTGCATAAAGAAAAATCACATATCTGTTCATCACATATGTACTACGAATCACCTTGCCGATATCTTCACAAAAGCTCTACCCCCACAAAGATTTAAGTATATCTCCAGCAAACTCACAGCCACTACACAGCCATAAGTTTGAGAGGGGGCTGTTAGCCAACTGTACAGGTGGAAAACACAGATTGGAACCACACCTGTACCATTAGAATAGGCTGTACTTTCTTTATAACCTTTGTGTATTTATATCTCTTGTATCGAGTAGACAATGCAATGAATTAATTCCTTATTCTCCTCTGTCTTCCTCTAGTCTTTCCGAAAGCCTCCACCTGTTGTATCGAAACTCCACCTCTCCGTTTCTACAAAGATACAGCCTTGCTAAGCAAGATGAAATATGCCCATTATCCCTATATCCAGTGATTGAGACATGAATAGTGTCAGGCAAGCACAAGATAATTTGTGATGCCAAACTAATCCATGCGCAGTTTCATAAAAATAAATAAAAAATAAAAAAAAATAATAATAAATTGTTACAGTTCAACCCAAACCGGCCCAGGTGGGGCCGAGTCAAACTGATAGGGGGCGGGCTAAGCCACCTCCTTTAATTCCCACCGCCTAAGCAAGTGGACCCCCTCCTTGGGCGGCAATTAGAGAGAGAGCGAGGGCAGTTTAAGCATGAATTTGAATTTGTTTTATATTAGGAAGCTTTTATTAGGAGGGAAGGTATTTAAAAGCATGAGAAGCTAGGTTTAGGTTTTATGCTTTGATTTGTTTTTCTTGTAGTTTCTTGGCGCCTTGGGCTCTAGACTGTAAGATCATCCTCTCGAATTGAGGATCACTTGTATCTTACTTTGTGTTTGTTTGACTTTGATTCCTTTATTGCAATCCATTGTTTTGGAGCTGATTTTGTCCAGATTTTTGCATTATTCTCGCTGTTTTCACCAATTAGAGATAGGTATGCTTGCGAACTCAAGTATTTCCCTTAGGTTTACTTGTGAACTCAAGTATTTCCTATCAAAAACCTAATCCATGTGATAAAATGATGAAAATGTTACATGGAGAAAAAAATCTACAGACTATCCATAATACCTCAACTTTTCTCATTTCAGCTTCCGTTTTGGCTTTCTGATGATTTTCCCAGGCTTGAATTTTGATTTCTTCCCGTTTAAACCTGAAAGATATGCCAATAATGAACTCTTAATAGTACACAAAGCATGAAATTACAACTCATAACTGTAATAGGGGTGATATGATTGACAGTGAGCAACTACCAAGGCCGCCAAAGAATAAAAACAAGTCTCAAAAGGGCAAGCCTAGTTCTTCAATAAATTTACCTAGCTATGTATTTGGCCTTTTCTGCCTCTTCCCAAGCTACTGCACGAGTATCAATCATGCTTTTTGGTGGCTGGTCTGTCTTCAAGGAAACAGATGAATTAGTTGCTTCATCTTCTTTACTTGCCCAAGCTGCAATGTTCATCTTGCCCAACTGTGTGCCGAGAACCATGATCTCTTTTCTAGTTTTGAGCCTCAGCTGCTTTTCAGTAATTTCTTTATCACCGTTGGAATCAACTGAATCAATTGGAATGCTGGAAGATGCAGTTCTTTTTGGTGTGGATGCTCTTGAATAAGTTGGGCTTCTTGATGGCGTTGTTGCTCTAACAGGAGTTCCAGTTTGAGATGGCTCTTGGCTAGCAATTGGGGTCATTTCAGTTCCCATATCCCTCATGGAGATAGCTTTTACTATGGTTGGTGGCATGATGTAACTAGTGTCATTGTGAGTAGAAGCTGAAGTATCATGTTGGCTAAGACTAACTGCATGTTAAATGAACTGTAAACTTTATGCATATCATATATTTAGCACTAAAATTAAATGACATAGCACCGCAATGCTTAAAACCACAACATCACAATGATTTTGGATATATTTATTAAGAAAATATGTTTAATGACATAGCACCGCAATGCTCAAAACCACAACGTCACAATGCTGACCCAAATTATTATAGACCTAAGAGACTCGCGCTATAGCGCCAAGATTCCAACATTGTTGAGTTTCTCATTCCAGAAATCTCAAACAAAGAGTGGAAGGCTGCTATGCTCACAAGCGCAGTGCCATAACACTCCCAAATAAATTTGTCAGGAATGCACGAAAATAAATTTAATCAATCATTTTAAATTTAAAGTTATTACAGAAGAAGTTTCAACATGAATTGTGACTCAGAAGCAGTCATAGATTGATTGGAACCCCTCTTAAGCCACAAGAATAATTTTGGACTCGTGTAGATAAATGCCCATAAGGGGACAAAAGTTGGGATTATAAAAGCCTCTCTCTAATTAAGCACACCTTTTAATGAAACATGAATCTCAAAGGTCTTTAAAAGATAGAATTAATATTTGAATTAATTTGATTAAATTTATGTTTATATTTCCGATTATTAATTACATAAACATAAAAACACATTTCAAAAGGTCAAGCAATGTCCACGTTTGGTCGAATTAGTCTAATCCAACCACAAATGAGTCTAAATTGACTAATTAAATCCAAGTTATCCTAAACTATAAAAATTGAAAAGCAAACTTGCCTTTTACATGTAATAATACAGTAGACTGTAAGTAGAGAATGTATTAACCATTAGTAAAAAAGAGCTAAGCTATTGTGCTTTACACAGGTAAATGATATATAAAGCTGAGTGTCTTGTATCGTGACTGCAGTGTGATGCTTTGCCCTTTACATGTGTATGGTGGATGCATATTAGTTTGTTATGGATCAATTGTCTTGATTTACTTGAGGTTGTTTTACTAGTGTCTATGGTTGCCTAATGCTTATTATCCCCCCATAAAACTCACGGTGTCAGCTGGACGATGAGTTTGGTTCGAAGATGTTGGAACTGAGAGTTGGATAAATGTTTGGCCAGAATGTATACAGGTTGATCCTGAGAGGCAATTGGTAGTCGATTTCAATGTTTGGTCAGATGAATGTGTTGAGCTTGAACCTGTTCTCGAATGAAGTGGTAGTCGATTTCAATGTGCTTTGTGCTCGCGTGGAATACGAGATATTGGCTAGCACAATGAAAAATCGATTGTCACAGTAGAGTGTAATCGATTTTGTGATTAGAATGTTGAAGTCCCTAAGCAGTCTTTGAAATCCACACAATGTCAGCTTACGCAGCTGCAAGAGCTCTATACTCCACTTCTGTAGAGGAACGTGCGACGGTGGGCTATTTCTTTACTATCCAAGAGATGAGAGTTGGACCAAGAAAGGAGCAGTAACCTGTATAGTGGATCGGCAAGTGTGAATGTCACTAGCCCAGTCAGAATCGGCGTATGAGCAGAGAATGAGAGGACCCTTTGTGATTGGTAGGCGATCGTTCCTTTGAGGTAGCGAAAAAGGTGCTTCAACCATTGTGAGTGTACGGTAGAGGGATTGTGCATGTGTTGGCACAATTGATTAACTATGTGGGCTATGTCAGGACGAGTGAGTGTGAGGTATCGTAGGGAGCCTATGAGGTGGCGATATAGAGTAGGAGAGAATGGAGTAGTAGCTGAATTTGTAGTAGGCAGACAGTTGGATGATGTGGGGTTGATGGTTGGATTGCAGGATAGGTAGCCAGCTTTGTTGAGAATTGAAGTAGTAGGTGGCTTGGGAGAGAAATAGAGATGTGGGTGATGAGTTATTTGAATTCCTAGAAAGGTGGAGGGATTACTGAGGTGTTTCATGGAGAACGTAGAGTGGAGATTGTTGACAATGTGGTGGAGATGAGTTGAAGAGGAGCCGGTTAGGAGGATGTCGCCAACATAGCTTATAAGATAGGTGGACTGGATGATGTAAGTGTGGATTAGAGGTTGGCGAAATGAGTGGGAGCTTGTGTAGTTGTTTGGTAGGGAAAGACGGATTCATCAAATCGGACATGGCGAAAAAAGAAGATTTTGCAGGTGGATTGGTCTAGGCATCTGTTGACAATTAAAAAAAAGAGAAGAGACATAAAAGAAATGATATGATCAAACAAACACATCTATCCAATTCGGGCTCACTGCGTGCTCAAGCGAAGCAACTGTTTGTTCTAAATAAAAGCAACTGCCAGCTTACTCCTTTAAAATAATTGGAGCGTTTCGAGTTCGCTAATCATCTTCCCTTTTCTTCATTGTTATTCTGCTTTGCTTCGCAAGAGACGAAGAGATTGCACAATCGCTCCTTCGGATCCTTCGTTGTTGTTCGGCTTCGGTTTGCATGAGTGCACGCCTCGCTCCTTCGACTCCTCATCGTTATTCAGCTTCATAAGAGGCACAAAGATCGCAAGCCTCGCTTCTTCGGTTCCTCTGTTGCCCTTCAACTTCGCCCCTCCGACCCCTTTGTTGTCGTCCGACTTTGTTCCTTCGCAAGAGGTGCAGGGATTGCTCGAGTTGCCTCTTCCCTTCTTTTATTGCTGACTTTGCTTTGCAGGAGGTGTGGAGCTCGCACGAGTCGCTTCTTCCAAATCTTTGTTGTTGTTCGACTTTGACCCCTTTATTGTTGTTCGACTTCGTTGCTTTACAGAAGGTATAGAGATTATAAGAGTGCTTTTTTCAGTTCATTTGTTACTATTTGACAGTTTCGACTGTGCTCCTCCGACTGGACCCAACTGCCTGAGCAACCTGACTCAAATCCTATCTCCATTCCTCTTTAAAATGTGTATTATAATATATAATATTATATATAAACATATCATGATATATCTATATCATGTTATTATTATTTATATAATATTATATATCTAATATAATAATAAAAGAAAAAAAAAGAAGAAAATGACTTTCAAACAGGTGTTGAAGGCCAGTGCCGTCGACCTTAGATCCGACTAGGAATGCACAATTAGAAGATCCGCGCCGTGATCTTATATCTGGGTGGATGATTTTAAATTCGAAGTCCCTGCTCTATTAATCTTAAATTTGGACGGGATGAAATAAAATTCGAAGCCCCCGCTCTATTAATCTTAAATTTGGACGGGATAAAATAAAATTCGAAGATCCTACACAGTCGATCTTAGATCTTGGTGGGATGGTTTTAATTCGAAAATCCCACGTAGTCGATCTTAAATCCTGGTAGGATGGTTAAAATTCGAAGACCTCACGCACTCGATCCTAGATCCTAATGGGATGGTTTTAATTCGAAGACCCTGTGCCAATGACCTTATGTTCGGGTAGAAAGAAATTTCAGCAAATGTCATCCCGATTTCTCCCCTGGTGCGAGAGGGGACGTTGGGAGGTTACCGAAATTTCTGAGAGAATAACTTTAATATTATGAGAAAATGGTACAAAAAATATAAGAGTGATTAATTTGAGAATGATCATGTTTTGAAATCAAATTTTAATCAATTCATTAATTTTTTTAACTAATTGAAATTTCAAATATAATTTAAAATTAAATTAATTGATTAATTAAATTTAAAATTTAATTTAATCAATTAATTTAAAATTATAATAACTTTTTAAACTGAAATTTTTTGTTAGTTAATTAAAAATAATTAACTATTTAATTTCAAATTTAAATTTGTAATTTAATAAGTTAATAAATCTATTTAAAAATAATTATTATTAATTGAGCGATTAACTAATCAATCACTTAAATATTAATTAATAATTAAGTATATTATATTAGGCATAAAAAAGTGGAGAGAGGCGCTAGTGAATTTTTCTTTTTAAAAAAAGGGCAAAAAAGAAAATATTATTTTTCCACTACTTGATATACACCACTATTCTCCAAACAACAACTCTCAACTCAACAAAACTTCACAAAATCAAAAATCAACTCAATCAACACACACAATACAAATTGAAACTCTCAATACTCTACAGTGGCTCCTACAACTATCTGTGAGCTCCCTGAACTACTGCAAGTATCACGTACTTGCAAACAATCAAATAAGAATTAGTGTAATATAAATAAATTAAATTAATGCTGAAAAATAATAAATCAAACTACTGTAGATAGAACAAAATACTAGAAAGCAAGGAAAACTAAGTATTAAAAAATTAGTAAAATAATAGTGCTAGAAAATGAGTAGAGTAATGGACTACTACGATAAGAAAAGACTACGGGCACAGAATAACTAAAACACTGACGTCAGTGTCAAAACTCTGAAGTATTAAAATCACAAACTCAAACCAACTTAAATAAGTATAGAACAAATCTCTAAATATTGTACAAGCAATTATTATTTATTCAAATAATCAAATTTAAATCCATTAGCGCCTTATTTATAAGAACTTGGTTGGAAGAACCACTATCCGGCAATTTTTAAAGGAAAGTAGTAAATCCAACCTTAAGGGAAAGTTTTAGGTGAAATTGATCTAACCATTAATCCCCAATTAAAACCCCGACCACTTCTGGGTCCTACAACTTTCTCCTAAGGTCAATTTCCCCTAAGGTCAATTCCCAACCTTATGGGAAAGTTTTAGGTGAAAAGAAGTGGCTGGGGTATTAATTGGGGATTAAAGGTTAGGTCAATTTCACCTAAAACTTTTTCCTAAGGTCGAGCTTGCTGCTTTTCTTTGAAAGTTGCTGGGTAGTGAGTCTTACAACCAAGTTCTTATAAACAAGGTTGCCCATAGATTTGAATTTAATTATTTAAATAGACATTTGTTGCTTGAATAATGTTTGGAGATTTATTTTATACTTATTTGAGTTGGTTTGAGTTTGTGATTTTAACACTAGAGGGTTTTGATACAGTCGTTAGTGTTTTAGTTGTTCTGAGCTCGTAGTATTTTCTTACCGCAGTAGTCAACTACTCTACTCATTTTATGGCAGTGTTACTTTACTAGTTTTTAAGTACTTA